CGCTGGTCCTCGCAGACCGCAGGCCTCGGGCGTGGAGTCACGGCAACCTGGAGCAAGCTCAGTCCTCGGTGCAGCCGGCCACTTGGTCTGGAGCGCGGGTCCTTGCAGACAGCTGAGCAGGCCCGCTTCTGGTCCTCGGGATGTGGAGCCACAGCCTGGAGTGACCTCTGCGGTGCGCCGTCCAAGGCCGAGTGAAGCTCCCGTGCCAGAGCCCGGCCTTATATAGCCAGCTCCAGGCCCACCCGGTGCTGAAGGCCTGACCGCCCTTGGCCCCTGGGCTACCCCGCCCCGATACGTAATCATTGCGTCAGCAAAATGCGGCCAATCAGGACGGTCCACGTCAGGTGGCCTGCTGTGCCCCACAAGTTGTTTAGGTTAATTTCAGCCTGGACACACCCCACTGAGTTCTACCGTTGGCCCTCCGTGTTCACAGGTTCCACTTCTGTGGATTCCAAAAGACACATGACTGAATCTTCTTGGGAGTAAAACCGAAAATAACAACACCGCAAGACAAAATGGTAGAAAGAAGAACCCACAGAGGATAACAACCCCTTACCTAGGATTGACGTGGTGTGAGGGGACTTGCCAACATTCGTAGAAAAGTGGGATTAAGAGAGAAAAATGAAAAAGGTGTATTTTACTTCTCAACATCGGCTCCATCAAGTTCAAGGCGCTTTTGGAAGCAGTGTCTTTTCCCCGCCCTCTAGCCCATCCCTCTAAAACCCCCAGGGTCCTGGGAATGTAACGATTTCCATGAAATCTTTTTTCCATCGTTAACTGAAGAAAACTGGGTGCTTTTTACAGATTTTCTAAGTCTAGGAAACAAAAAGAAGTCAGCAGGCGCCAAATCAGGACTGTAAGGTGGACGCCTCATGATTTCCCGCGGCAAGTCTTGCCCAGCTGCCCTTGTTGAGTGAAAGGCATGAGCAGGAACATTGTCGTGGTGGAGAAGAACTCTCTGGTGAGGACTGTTCTCGCTCCAGCTTTGGCGGCTGACTTTCTGAAAACGCTCTCCTAGTGAGCAGATGTGATCACGGTTTGGCCCTCCAGAAAGTCAACCAGCCGAATCCCTCTGGCATCCCCCCCAAACGGTGGCCATGACCTCTGCTCTTGACTGCTCCTCTGTGGCTTTGGATGGAGCGCTGCCACCTCTTGGTAGCCATGGCCTCGTGCTTGGTCTTCAGGATCCTGCCGGCAGAGCCACGTTTCATCTCCTGTTAGCAGTCTTGGAAGAAACGCTGGAGGATCTTGCTCCCACCGGCTGTTTAAAATCTCCTCAGAAGGGCTTGCCCTGGCCTGCAGTGATGTTGGTGCCACGGTTTGGGCAGCCGAATTCCACTCTAATCTTTCAGTCAGAATGAGGCAAACAGAACCATTTGAAGTGTCTATGATGTCAGCTATCGTTTCTGCTGTCGATGGCGGTTTGGCTTACTTTTTAAATTCTCACATGACTTTTCTCCCTCTCTCTCTCTCTGTGTGTGAGAGTGTGTGTGTGTGTGTTTCTTCTAAAGAAGGAAAATGATTATAGCCTGAGAATCGGGGGATGAGGATTCAGGTGTTAAGGCTTTTTTGAGAATTACCCCTCGTCGGTGTGTGGCCAAATGTGTAAATGTGCTGTGTTTCCAGTCTTCCAGCTCCCTTACTAAGAGGACCCTAGTGCAATACTGGCAAAGCTTCCAATCTCCTAGAATGAGGATTATTTTAGTAGAGATGAGATTTTTTCATATTGGTCGTCGTGGTCTTGAACTCCTGACCTCATGTGATCCACCAGTCTCAGCCTCCCAAAGTGCTGGGATAGAGGTGTGAAGCTCCCCACCCAGCCTTCTTTGAGTTTTGTATGGTCACTGATAGGATCAACTCCCTTTCCCTAGAACGAATGCTTCCCTGTCTTCCTTAAATGCAGTTTACTTGTTTCTCTGTTTCCTGGCTTTTTATGTGTGTGTGTGTGTCATAGCTGGCACACATTCTTTTGATTATCAGCCTGTGTGAGGCCAACAAATGCTCTCTGTTAAAATGTAAAGGTTCAATATAGCTTGCAGAAGCCCCTGTGATCTGAACTGCAGGTTGTTAACCTGGTCATCTCATGGTAATCAGAAAGTGTTATTGGCAGCTTTAGACTTTTTGATTCAAAACATAAATAAACTGATTAAGGTGTCTCCATTCCTTCATAGGGCTTATGGGTGAAAAGATTGTGAATTATTCTACGTGTTACTTCAGGAAACTATTTTCGCTTGACAAATTTACCAGTGATTACCATTCATTTATGAAATCTGATAGTTCCTTTTTCTAAGTAATAGCAGTTTTATTTGAGCCATGCTCTGGTTTGGTCTCCCAGTCTGGAGTGCAGTGGAATGAGGAAAGGTCACGGCAACCTCCGCTCGCCCAGCTCAGTCAATCCTGCCACCTCAGTCCTTTAAGAAGCTGGGACCACAGGGGTGTGCCACAATGCCAGGCTAATTTTGATATCTTTTTTAGAGGTGGGGTTTCCCTGTTTTGCCCAGGCTGGTCTTCACCTACTAGGCTCAAGCAATTTGCTTTCTTTGGCCTCCCAAAGGAGGATGGGTCATGAATACAGGATCATGCCCAGCGTTTTATTAAAACAACAACAACAACAACAATAAAGAGTTTATGTATTTGGAGTTATCAGTGTCACCTAATGGCTTGTGAATTTTTGTCTAACAAGTTCTTATCTACTTGATGATTTCCAAAAAAAGAAAGGAAGAAGGGAATCTCACATCTTGTTCCTTATTTATGATTACAACTAGGGTGTTATTTAAAAAACGATCAGTGAACAACCAAAAGATAATTGTTCCGAATGTGTTCATATCTTCTGAATTCTGAGGTGTCCTCCAGGCTGGGAGGTAGTGGTTGGGTGTGGGAGGTAAAATCACAGGGCCAGCACGTGACACCTACAGAATTCAAAGGCTCAACTTTGCACCAAGCCAAAGGTTCTGGTGTCCACTGGAAGTTTCTTTCCCCAACCCGCATTGACTTTGCATTGGTCCTCCTCCCTCCAGATTTTACCTGCAAGGCAAGTCCTGAGTTCATCGTCGGGAGAATCTTTTCTTGTAGTCTCGAATTGCCTTGGCCATCAGCGGGGCCACTTTCTTGGCAGCCTGTTTCTGGGTTTTGGCCGCGGGCGTCGCGCGCTCATTGCTGCTGCTTAGGCAGGGGTTGGCCCTCTTCTCAGGGAGCTGGTGAAGGACATTGCTGCTGCTGCTGTCTCTGCCACCACTGTCACTGCCCCTGCTGGAGGGAACGTGGCTGCTTACCGCAGGCTTTGGGGCTAGCTTGAGCTCTCCATTTTCAGGTTCAGCAGCTCCTGCAGACTTATCTTGCCTCCTTGAAGCATCATAAGGCGTCTTGGCCACAGAGTTGAAATAGGTCATCTTTGCCTCTCCGCTGTTGGGGTTGTTTTCACGTGCAGATCGGATATTTGCTGTCAGTACTCTTAGTAGCTGCTCTCGGGTGTCCTGAAGCCGCAGGCACAGCTCCCGCCAAGACTCTTGCTCCTGTGACTTTCCTTCCTTGAAGTCCTGGAGACAATGAATCCTCCATAATTCATCTGTGTCCCCAGCGAGTGCGTGATTGTATTTCTCTCTGCGATACAGCTGATCAGGTGTCCACCCTTCCAGAACGGGTTCAAGATACGAGTAGGGGATCCCTTCCACATCGCTGAGGGTGTCGGGATTGTTTCTAAGGACCCGGATGCACTGCTGGCGCAGTGTCAGCACCTGGGGTTGACAGGCAGGCCTGGAGCCCGAGTACACCTGCATCTTAGCATTCACTCTGCCTCCAGTGAAAGCAGTTTCCTCCTGGAAGGTTGGTGCAGTGAGTGCTTCTGGCTTTGCCTGGGAGGTCATGGAGTCAGAATCCAATAGCGAATGGTAGTTGGCCTGCATCCAGGCCTCTGAGGGGTCCCAGAGCTCTGAGAAGGCATGGCTGGGCACCGTTTTCAGCCCTGCAGAATCAGCACCGGCTGCCTGCAGCCTCTCTGACTGTCTTTCCTCGAAAGGAGGCAATTTCTTAGCTGAATCCCAGGACACACGAGTGCCCTTGGAATCGTTTACTTTCCTTTGTTTATCTCCAAGTGCAGTGGTGGAAGATTTCCCAGTCTTTTTCCTTTGCTTCTGCAACTGGTCGTAAGTGTGGTATTTTTCAAATGACAGAGTGGGCTGCTTGAATTCCTCAGCCATATCTACCTCCTCCACCTCAGAGAGGGAGCTCATGGACATTCTGCCCACATGAGCCGTTGGTGGCTTCCCCTCTTGAGTCTTTTGGTCGTTGGAAAGCTGCTCTTTCTCCTCAGAGGACAGGCGGTGTGTCCCATTTCCTGGGTACGGGCCATCTAGACTGGGCATCTTCTTGTTCAAGTGTCTGTGATGAGGCCTATTTGGGTGACCGTCTGGAGCCACCACCAAGGCGGGGACATGCTGGCTGCTGCCAGCTCGTCCCCCTTCCTTGTCATTCTTGGCGTCACCCGAGGACGGCCTGTCTCTGGCACTTTCCCGGGAGGGCATCCTTGGGGTTTCCTCTCTTAAGCGGGCCCAGGATGATTTCTCCCTGATCAAAGTAGGGGAGTGCCAATCGCCCTGGGCACACAAGGGGCATTTTTCCTGGTGGGACGATTTGTGTCCCTTGCTGTGGCTTACAAGCGCTTCCCCCTGGGGTTGGCCCTGGCAGCCCTGACCCAGCGGAGGCCCGCCCTGAGCGGCGTGAGCGCGGCCTCTTCCGGGTTGCTTCCCAGGCACAGCGGGCTCAGGGCCCTCGGACGTCGGGAGGGGAGCGGTGTGCAATGGAGGGGCCCGATGGGGGCCTGAATCAGCTGGGGCCCTTCTGGGAAGCTTTCTCTGGGCTCTGTGCTCGCGACTGGGAGACCTTCGGTGAGGTCTCTGGAGTCCCGGAGGTGTTCTGTGTGCTGTCTGTCTGTGCTCAGGACTGTCAGGTGGGCTCCTGGGGACCTTCCGGTTCTCTGGGAAGCCCCAGGCCTTTTCCTGGTCCTGAAGAGCCTCCCCATAGCGCTTTCGGGAAGCGCTCTCCTCGGGGTCCTGTGCATCAGGCCCGGTGTTTGGGTCCACAAGCACCAGCTTCTTCCACCGGGCGGCTAAGTCTCTGGCAAAGTCACCCACGTGCTGGTGCTTCCGCAGGCGCTTCACCGTCTTTCTGATTCCAGTCTCCGCCAGGATGTCTGCCGTCATGGGCAAGGCGGAGAGTTTCTGCAAATATTTCTCTAGCTTTTTGGGGTCCGTCTTAGTGGTCAGATACACCTGCAGCTTCTCCACTGCGTGCAGCGTAATGGATCCTGCTGCCATCTCACCAGAGCTGTGCAGGCGTCACTGTCCTGGAGGTCTCGGCTCTTTCCTCGGGGCGGCGGGACACGAAGCCAGGCAGCGACCTCGAGATGTGGAGTCACAGCCTGGAGCGAGCTCGGTCCTCGAAGCAGCGGACCACTGGTTCTGGGGCGCTGGTCCTTGCAGACCGTAGGCCTCAAGGCGTGGAGTCACCACAGCCTGGAGCAAGCTTAGTCCTCAGTGCAGCGGGCCACTTGGTCTGGAACGCCGGTCCGTGCAGACCGCTGAGCAAGCCTGCTTCTAGTCCTCGGGATGTGGAGCCATAGCCTGGAGTGACCTCTGCGGTTTGCTGTCCTACACGGAATGCAGCTCTGGTGCCAGAGCTGGGCCTTATATGGCCCACGGCAGGCCCACACTCACGGCTCTAGCCCTGACCCTCTTAGCTCTTGGGCTGCCCCGCCCCAATACGTACTCATGCCGTCAGCACAATGCAGACAATCGGGACGGTCCACGCCAGGTGGACTGCTGTGCCCCAGAGGTTGATTAGGTGAATTTCAGCCTTGACACACCCCACTGAGTTCTACCGTTGGCCTTCCATTATATCAGTTTCCGTATCTGTGGATTCAAAAAAACGCAGACTGAGTCTTCTTGGGAGTAAAACAGAAAATAACACAGCAAGATAAAATCACAGAAAGAAGAACCAATACAGGATAACAACTCTTTACCTAGGACTGATGTTTTGTGAGGGGACTTTCAAACATGTGTCAAAACTGGGATTAAAAGACCAAAATAAAACCGTTTGATTTTATTTCTTAACATCTGCTCCATCAATTTCAAGACAGTTTTCAAGCACTGTCTTGCCCCCACCTTGTCCCTCAAGCCCTGATGGTTCTGGGAACTTAACAATTTCCACGAAATCTTTTTTTCCATTATTAACTGAAGAAAACTGGGTGCCGTTTGCAGAATTTTTAATACTAGGAAAGAAATAGAAGTCAGCCGGTTCCACATCATGACTGTAAGGTGGACGCCTCATGATTTCCCATTGAAACTTTTGCCAAACTGCCCTTTGTTCAGTGAAATGCAACAACAAGAACTTTTTCATGATTAGGTAGAACTCTCTGATAATGGTTTTTCTGCTCATGCTTTGGCTAATTTTCTCAAAAACTCTGTTAGTAAGCCCATTTAATGATGGTTTGGCCCTTCAAAAAGTCATTTAGTCGTATCTTTTGAGCATTCCCCAAAACTGTTACCATGACCTCTTCCCTTGACTGGTCCTCTCTCTTTGACTGGAGTGCTGCCACCTTTTGGTAGCCATTGTTTTGTGCTCTTTCTTCAGGATCATCCAGTTTGGCCATGTTTTATCCCCTCTTACAAATCTTGGAATAAATATTTCTGGATCTTCTTCCACCTGTTTTAAAACTTTAAAGAAATTTTTACTCTTGTCTCTAGCTATTATTGTTGAAACAGATTTGGTATCTGGATCGGACTTTCGTTTTTCAGTGACAATTATTAAAACAGGATCATTTGAAATATAGTATCTATGTTTTTTTCTCTTCTGTTGTTACTTATTTGTCCTCTCAAATTAGGGAACACTTGGTCCTATGTTTCTGAGCATAGTTGACCAATTCTGACATTGTATGAAATTCAGCAAATGTCTTTTCTGGATCTGTAGACACTTCTTTTGAGATTTCTAGTATTTTGTTGGGTTGTACAGCATTTGAAATTTAGGAAGTTTCCTGGCAGAGCCAGGAGATAATCAGGAAACAAACAAAAAACAAATTAGAACCTACAGGTATATATAGTCAAGCTTTTAGGTGAATATTAGATGCAGAGACTGTAAAAGAGAAGTATAGAAAAAACATTTAAAATAAGAGAATAAGAGATGTGTCCTTTTTAACTGTTTGTTTTTGAGATGGAAAGCTTAATGCAAAATTTGGATCTTATTACTGAAATTGAAATGAGCTCATGCAAATTAATCTCCATAGCACCCGTAAAAAGGAAATTAAAAGCACTAATGTTGCATGTGGTGTATATACAGTAACATTTCCTAAATATCTTCTCAGTCTAAAACTGGGAATGATATTCAATGCTTCCTTTTCCTCAGGCTATGGTATCATAGGATTCAATTTTGAATTTGATAATGGAGGTATATTTGTGGCACAATAGCCCACAAAGGAAATGAAAGAAGAAGAAAACCGCCAGATTATTGAAACATACCAATGAGACACCTAGATTAGATGTTCACTTCTGGGCCTCCTTTCTTTGTACACAGAAGTTAATGGGCATGTACTTGTGTCCATTTCAGGGGCACACCATCTCTTACAGTTTAAATAGAACTTTTTTGGGGGGGAGCGGCTCATTCTTAGTTTTTTTAATTCAGAAGATAATTTTCTGTGTTAATTTGAATGGCCTGGGCAGAAAGATGTAGATCTGGCCAACTTTATACCTTTAATTAAGAAATTTGTAAGACTGCATTCTGTGTTTTCAGTAACAGAAGCTCATCTTAAATATTTAACACTACATTTTGAATAGTGTTTTTAAAACTCTCCCTATTTTACTCGTACTGAATTCTGAATTTTTATCAATCTTATCTCAAAATAAAAATCATATTATTATTTTAAGACCTGGTCACCACAAGTAAAAGCTGCTTCACAGTCCACATAGTAGGAAAGCCTTTTTTTTTTTTTTTTAAATTGGAGATGGGAGTCTCCCTGTGTTGCCCAGGCTGCTCTCATCCTGGGCTCAAGTGATCCTCCCACCTTGGCCTCCCAAATTGCTGGGATTACAGGAGTGAGTCGTGGTGCCAGACCCTGGGAAGCCATTTTTGATGCAGCCTCATTACCAGACAGAGTTCTAAAGGACTCAAGTCAATCCCCATTATAGAGATAGACTGTTTTGCAAACTGAGATTCTAATTAAAAAAAAAAGTGGAAATTATTTTGATTGGAGTTGAAGTAGCTACCATTTTGCAGAAATGTAATCAAAACCCTAAGTAAGCCTCTCTGATAGGCTATTCTTTCAAAAGTATGATCAACATTGCTCAGATTTGTTTAGGATTAAGAATTAGACTTCTGTCTCAAGAATTAGAGCTTTTGCTTTCTTATTTATCCTGATCAACTGTGTTAATTAGGTCAGTGGATTACTGTTTAAATGATTCTCCAGGGATTCTAAAAAGGAGTTTGAAGGAAATAATTCTGACAAATGTTCCAACTTGCTTTTATTAGGGTTGCTGTGAAACTCACTATCCTATCCATGAGTAGTAGAAAATAAACTGTATTTTTCTGTGTCTGTGTATGTGCATGTATGTGCACACATGGAGTATTTCTATAATACAGTGTAATTGATCCTCTAGAGTATAAACTGCTGAGTGATATCGCTGGGCCAACAGGTATGTGCATTTTTCTTTTTGATAGATTTTGTCAATTTGCTCTGCAAACGGGTTGTACCAAGTTACATTCCCACCAATTGTATCTGAAATACAATATTCTTTCAATACCTTACCAAATCTGGACGTAAAAATGTAAAAAATAGCTGCACTTTAAAAAATTTGAGATTCTTATTGAAAGAAGCTTATTTTTGTACCAATAAACTGAAGAAGTATGGACAATACTTAAGGTAGTTTCTTCAACTTTTATATGCATTGCAAATTATTATAAAACCCAAAAGAAAAACAGTAAAGAGAAATGTCTGCTGTAAATGAACATGTGAAGATTCTGAACACAGAAATGCCTGTGTTACTCTTCTGTTCAGTAAATCTACTCCTGTAGTCACACTGGTGCAGCAAGGTTGCGTAGTAATAAGGTGTCATTGCTACTCTCCAAAGCAGAAACAGGCTCTGTCTGGGGGCTGGCAAAGCAGGCCCTCACAGTGCTATGTGTGATAACCAGTTCTTTTACCCCATCATTTCCATCTTGAATAGCTTCAAAATATTGCATAGAAAGATTTATATTTTCAGTTAGACTATTTATTTGATATATCAAGGCACAATTTTATGTAGATTATTTACATTTATTTAAGACTTCTTTTATCTGCCCCTCTCCCACCTTTCGCATTTTAAAGCATCTTTATTCATATACCGTACAACTCACCATTTAAAATGTACAATTCCATGGCTTTCAGGATATTCACAGAGACATAGTTCCATTGCCTTGATCAATTTTAGAACCTTTTCATTAGCCCAAAGAGAAATTCTGTACCCTTTACCTGCCAACCCCTCCCGCCCCCCCGGCCCCCTGCAGTTCTCCCATCCTCCCAGTCCTCTCCTCCCCACTTTTAAACGTCTCTTCCGGGATCTTTTTTTCTGTTCCCCTAATAAATCTACTGAGTTTTCCCTAATGAGTTTTTCATCCCACTAATGAGGGCCTTCCTCTGGGTATATGCGTGTCTGTGCACACATGGAGTATTTCTACAGTATAGTGTAATTGACCATCCTCATCTTTAAGAAATTCAGCCAAACCCAGTGCAGTGGATCCAGTACTGAGGAGCACACAGAGAACACTAGCTACTTTTTCTCAGTGACCTAGTCATAGAAGATATTTGCACAAGTACATGTTTCAATTAGGAAGAAGCAAATGCTTCTAGAGTGAAGGATAGAGAGACTCTGAAATGCATGAGCAAAGCAACTAACAGCTGTTGAGCACCCAGCAATTACTATCCCTAATATTGACATAGCACCCCCACAGTTTTCAAAGCACTTCCCAGGCTTTATTTCGTATGATGTACAGGACACTGCATTAGAATCTCTAATATGGAGGGATATGGACCTTGTTAGAAATGGGACCAGTCAGTGTCCAATATAGTCTCTAGGAAAATGTAGATTACTTTCATGGCTCTTTAAGCCAATTTCCACCTTTGCATTCTCAAAGACTTTTACATGCATATAAAATAGATTAGCTTTATTTAGCTTTATTGCAACTATTCAGCAATTAAAAGACATAATCTCTTGTAAGACATATTACTCCTGGTGCAGCAGGGTGACTAACCTTTTGAAGGAGGTCTAGCCAGTAACAGCTTTGAAATGGTCACTAATATTGTGGGAAATTAAGCTTGAGAAATTGTAAAAGACATCATTCATTTGTTACTGAGTT